AGAAAGGTTTCAATTCAGTGCGGCTTTTAATAATAAAATCGATTAACTGATGGACATAATTCATTAAATGTACCATTATATATTGGACAACAGTACAAAAATACTGACTTAAGTCAGCGTGAATGTAAGACATTTTTATGAATTTAAGACTTTTTAAGGCCTTAATTTGTGAAAGAGCAAGTTACAGAAACCCTGAATGATCTCAAATATCAGAAATTTCAGGTGGATTCAAGTGTAGATTCAATGTACTTTGTTGTATTAAGAAACCTTACTATTACTAGTCAACTTGTGCTTGTTACCATGAGCTTAGTGAAAAAAACACTATGGCCTTAAACCATTGTCATTCTCCATGCTGTTTTCCCCCCACCATGTAATGAGCTCTATTTTGCATATGCAGACATATTTAATGTCCTTGAGGGAGTCATTCCACAGTATTGCCATATATTGATTGTGTCCCTCAATTCTTAAATTAGCATAATAGCCTGATAGTATGTCCTCCAATATGTTGTTTTCCTTATATTTTGTTTTATGGAACATGTTTAGTCTGCAAGTCATTGGTGTACACTAAATACGAATGGCCAGTGGCTCATTTCCATACAGTATGTGTCTGCTCGTACTACAATGAATGTTAATTTTTTTCCCCCTTTATATATGTATACAGCAGTGTTTAAATTGCACTTTAAATTGCTATAGCCGAGTGGTTCTCAATCCTGGTCTTGAAGACCTCCCAACACTGCACATTTAGATGTCTCCTTAATCTATAGTAACATACCTGACTCAACTAATCAGCTTATAATTCCATGCCCTGAAATGGTAAGGGACATTTCCAAAATGTGCTGTGTTGGTGGAACTCCAGGACCACAATTGAGGACTATTACTAGAGAAAGACGTTAAGACTTGACAAGTCTAGACTTGTTTATTGAGTTCCACTCAGTAAGATTGCTAAAGGTGAGTCAAAATACTTTCTATCATAGCAGTTTGATATGGAGAGACAGCTAAATAAGTAAGCCACTAGAGCCACAAGTTCTGCCAATAGAGTTTAGTGGAACTTGCGACCATAGTTAGCTAACAATGCTTTTTGGTAATACACCCCTGATCAGCCTGAGGCAGTAATGCTGACTCAACCAACTGCGTGAATTTTGGGCAGAACTACCTGCTTGTCGCACCAATGGCAGATAGATTGGGGGGCTTTTTGAAAAAAAATTATTTAAAAATTTTTTTTTTTTCAGTAGGTGGTCCAGTTTTTGACCCAGCAGGGCTGACTGTGCAATCTGGTGAATGGACTGGAGAAATTCTTTCTTATTAGCAGCAATACATTTTGCTGGAATAATTGACTGTAACCAACTTAAGGCCTGTTTGTGGTCAGAACATGAACATTTTCTTTGCTCAGAAAGTAAGCTATGATTTGTAAAAATAAAAAAAATAAAAAATACATTGTTTAGATTACCAGAAGTGAAACTGACCTGAAACATACACTTGCACAAGCCTAATTTTATGCATTTTGTCTCAATTTATAATAATGCAAATACAAATTGAATTCTCTGCATTGCCGCAAAAGGCACTATAGAGGGCATTGGGATAAATTATAACCTTACCAGTCATTTTTCAAAATCTAATAGCCTTATACAGGGTTTCTGTGGGTCTTAGAAAGTGCACAATTTAAGGCTTTAATCAGAGCAGAGAGTCTTAAATACATATTCATGGTATTAAATGCTGCATCCATTAAAAAAAAATAAAAAATAGTTGGGAAAATTGTCGTTTCCCAATGCAATTATCTAAACATCTTTAAATCAAGATACATTTACTTGAGATGCAAAATGAAGAAATCTTGTTTTCTGATAAATTGAACAAAATGAAAAGATTTTTTGCTGTAAAACAATATCTGTCAATGGGGTATGAAAACTTGTTTTCCCTTTGAATTAAGTTTTTGAATTGATTTTTTTTTTGTTCTTGTTTTAATCATAAACTCATTTCACAATTTCACAGAATACAAGCCTTATTTTCTCAAGTAAATGTATCTTGATTTAAGAGTCTTTGGACATTTGCACTGGAAAACTAGACAAAAAAACATCACTTTTTTGCAGTGTGATCCAAAGGTATAGTTATTTCCATATTCTAGTATTTGGGAGCAGACTTATTTAAGCCTTAAGCTATTGTCACGAATCCGGTCCATGAACTTTCCTTTTCATTGACTCTCGCACCACACAAACTGTTGCATAGCACCCCGGACTACATTTCCCATCATGCATTGCACTGATTGCACTCAGCACAAATTGCACACACCTGTTTACACTGATTGCACCCAGCTGTTTCATATCACTCCCTCACTATTTAACACTCACTCTGATCCCTTCCCTCTGCCGAGTATTGTTTCAGCATTTATCACTCTCCTAGAGATAGCTACTTTACGGAGCCCTTGTCATAGCCTTAGCCTTAGCCTTAGCCTTAGCCTTAGCCTTAGCCTTAGCCTTAGCCTTAGCCTTAGCCTTAGCCTTAGCCTTAGCCTTAGCCTTAGCCTTAGCCTTAGCCGTTTGCCTTAGCCTTAGCCTTAGTCTTAGCCCTAGTCGTTTGCCTTAGCCTTAGCCTTAGCCCTAGTCATTTGCCTTAGCCTTAGCCTTAGCCTTCCCGGTTTCTGATCTTCGCCTGGTTCCCTGGATTCACCCCTTTTGTCTTGCCCCTTTTGATTCTGTCTGCCGATCGTCGACCTGTGCTAGCTCTAGGACTATTCTTGTGTTTTGCCCACCATATACCTGTTTGCCCTCATCTGACCCATGCCTGCTGTATGACCACGTCTCTGTCTGTGTCTAATAAAGCTTTGCGAATGGATCCGCAAGTCTCACGTCTCGTCAGCCCCGTAACCGCTATTTATTTTCTGTAAAATGAATTAAAAAGTAAGGAAGATTTGTAGGAAGTTGTATTTTCAATTTTGTCGTGTTGCTAATACTCCAACTCGTGTGCTCCCTGTGTTTACATTTAGATAACATTTATTTAGTCATTTATCAGACGCTTTTATCCAAAGAGACTTACAAATGAGGACAACAGAAGCAATCAATTGTAGTATTAAAACAACTAAAAACAGATCCAAAGCTGAAACTTTATAAATACTACCTATACACATTTTATAAATAAAGAGATTAAATAAAAATGACAAATGCAAACAACAGAATTGCAAAACTTATCATTTAAATGAAAAACTAAAAACAATTCAAAATATTAAAGAACAAAAGGTATAAGAGTATAATAATAATTATTCTAACATAACACTAAGCCAAACACCAAAAAAAACAACTACATAAGTGTATGTACAACCATACATATACTGTATATGTACATACACATTTATAAATTCAATATATATATTATTTCATTTCCATTTAGTTTGTTGAAGTATTAAAATAACTCAAATTAAATAAAACTAAAAACGTAATAAAAGACCTATACAGACATAATAAATTCAGACATAATTTAGCTAAAATTAAAATAAATAAATACAAATCAAATTACAGTAGTTTATCAGTAATCCTAAAAAATAACACTGCCAAAACACACATGCTAAAAAACAACAACTTAATTACATAGTAAGAAATTGTTATAAAAACTGAAACAGAAGCGAAGTTGAACAAAATACTAAATTAATTCAGCTGGACACACTTTCCTAATTTTCTCCACAACAAATGGCCAAGCAAGCGCAGACACTGACAAGATACGCGATACAGAACAAGACCAAACGCGAAAATATTATGTATGTGTATATATATATATATATATATATATATATATATATACTGTATATATATATATATATATATATACAGAACATATTGACATATTGTGATCTGCTTACGCCACACAGGCGATTAGGTTTATGGGTGGGGTTAGCGGTGGACCTTCATGCGTTTTTTCAAAAAAATCTGTAATTTCCAGAAGAATTGCATCATACAAATTCATTCAAAATCACCACTTTGTAAAATGGTTATGTTTTCTCATGAGATTGGTTGGTTTAGGAGTCATGGTGATGTTTTACCTACAAGTCATGAATTTTTGTATGATTCTAATAAAATCGCCATCTTGAACAACACCTATAAATACTCATGAGAACTGACCGAAATATCGCCTTAGCAGAAAACCAACTCCTCAAGCCAGAAAACCCCTCCATGCAACAGAGATTTGATCTTGAAAGATTTGGCAACACCACAGTGGCCACTTTAGGTCATCTAACAGGACCGGAGACTTTCATTAGATGCCTGCTGGGGTTCTGACCAGAGATTTCAGGAATAGAGCGATTGTTAACACTTAGATTTCATCTATTCCTGATTGACAGAGAAAAAATGGGTTTGACCTGAATAAACATGAATGATATTTGAGCTTCATTCATTCATCATTCTTATTTTGTTCTTTTTAGAGCTTGAGCTCGTCACTGTATGCTGGATATATATACAGTATATATATATATATATACAGTGGGTACGGAAAGTAT